TACTACTACTACTACTACTACTACTATTACTACTACTACTACTACTACTACTGCTACCACCACTATTACTACGACTACAAGCAATACTACTACTACTACTACTGTCATCGGATGTAGGCAGAAGTCCCTACGTCAGCCGGTTGGGGTGGCACGCTTGTTTGTGTTTTCATTACTGCCTCCCCATCACGTACGATATAATATAGCCGTAGTCCAGTCTTGAAAGGTCGTTGGTATAATGAAAATACATAAGTATAAATAGGCTACCGTTTGTGTTTGACAAAATTGTTGCCTCGCTGATCGGTTGTTGTTTTTTTTCTCTCCCACCCTTTTAGGCCATTCTGCCCGGTGGTAGTTGCCAATCTTAACGGCAGCATTTGCGCCTTCTCTATTATCTCCTTTTTTCCCGCCCCTCCATTTTTGTACTCCAAACTTTTCCTTTTTTCCTTCCCCTCTACTGCATGGACTTTTCTGCAGACTGAATGTCCTTGTAAATACCAATAAAATGCTTCTGCCAAAGGACTCTCCTTCTGAATGTCATGTTCTTGTTGTGACACACACGCCTAGTACTAACATTCTAACATTTCCGGACAAGCCAATGAGATTCTTTTATTCCGTTGTTGAAGGACGTCATGCTGAGGGAAGCCTTGGGTCACAGTCGTTTGCTCATAGTTTTTCGCGTAGCTCTGGGGGGTATCGGTGTGCAGCTCGTGCCACTGGCATCGCCTACGAGCCGAAATACTATATTTATATAATTATGCTACTCGTGCTCAGTGAGTAGTCGTATATGTTTACTATTTATCGCCAACTAACGGCTGTTCTTAGTTTTTCGCGTAGCTCTGGGAAATATCAGTGCCCAGCTGAACACAATTGCAACACCTATCCACCTCTTATTTCGGACAGGGACTTGGTTAGGTAGTTTCTAGGGTATTCGGAATAATCGGTATACCAACTTACCTGTAATTGACTGCGCTCAAATTTCACCCTTCTCCCAGTTACTTCTAGTCTGTCGATGACAGAGAATGCCGGTCCGGAATAGCGGGTCCTCGAAACCCTACGGTTGGGTATGGTTAGTTGATGACGGATAATGAATCGAAAATGGCTTCCTCATTTTCACTTCACTTTCCCCAGGCCTGCTTCTACATGCTCTAGCCTTCCTAAATTCGGATGCCTTACATGTAGTACGCCTTACTTTCCATGTAGTTGCTAAAGGTAATGGGCGTCGGTGCGTCATACACATCTGTACATACAAACCTAAATATTGCTACTATTAAAATAGTATTAACAATATTTAAGTAGTGTTATTTTTACATATAACTCTTGCATGCCCTATGGTATTGTTTATGCAACCTCTGGACGTAAACGGTTTTACTCCGTTGCGGGATGCCGGCGATCGGTGTGTGGGGTCGGCAACTTAGTATTACATTTCTCAAGACCTTTCCAACTGGCCGTTTCTTCGTCATGGATGCTCATTCAAAAGGCGAAACGCCGAGGCCTCCCTGGTGGGAGGCTCACAGGAAGGCTCTTCACGTAAGTCTGCATTACTGCGAAACACCACTTGCACGTGTTGATTGATTTACTATCCTACCAGAATTAGTAGTAGTACGTAAATATAAAACAGTTACTGACAAAAAGTTAGTAGTATACGTGCGTTTTGAATGACCGCGTGAGTTAACAGTTGAAGCAACTCGCACGTTCTTGTTAGATGCTCTGTCATCCTGAAAGCCCTCGGACTTTTGAAGCGAACCGTATTTTTTCAGGCCCACAAAACAGAGTACCTCGACCCGGAGACTGGTTATGTAGTTTTTACGGAGCTCTTTCATCTCCAACGCGGTGACTGTTGCGGCAACGAGTGCAGACATGTAAATTGTATTTTTACCCCCCCCTTTGTTGATTCTTTTACTTTTTGAAAGCAGTACATTTTTGCAAATATTTATAATGAAGATGACATTGCACAATCAGTTCTTTGGCAGTATAAAAAATAAGATAGGTGTAGTGTGGGCGTATGTATCTTTCTGGGAGGTTTCCGGAGGATCATAGATCCGTTGGCAGAGCGGTCGAATTTACTCGCACGACGCAACCACGTTTTCCTTTCCTTCCGTTCTGCAAGTTACCTTTTCATCTGCCTGAATTACCGGTCGCATGAAAAATTTCTAGTTTTGTGCTTTCAAAGAGGAAGGTTTAGCAGAGCGAGATCACGGAACCGAGTCGTATACATTCGCATCAAGTGATATGCAGCCTCCGGACGCAAAACCGTTTTAGCCGCCTTCGTCAACTAAACCCAAGATGCGAAAGTTCTAGTAAGTATTTAAACTCTTCATTACACATGGATTCAAGAGAATTTTGCAGCAAGGATGCATGCAAAATGTATTTCTCTTGCAAATTTCTTATACTGCATCTTCAAAACTGGATGCGCTTTGAATAATTATTCGCGAGAACTTATTTTGTCTGGTTCATTACGCTTGTTTGTAGAGTCTAGGTAGTAAGCCACCTTCAGTGTTCCGGGAGACCGCATCTTAGTGACGTAGGAAGGCCGAGTAATATGGATTGAATTATGGGATTTTATTTTCACGAGAGTTAGTGTTAGCCAGCTAATGGAAATTCCGCTCGAGGCCGCGGTTCAGACTACGGTCTGTGTTCAAGGCCACGCGGGTGTAAACGAAGACAGCCTTTCTTACGAACATGTTGAACCAACATAGCATTCTTCCATTTTGCTTTATCACATTTCTTTTTCTTCCTCATATAGTGTCCCTACAATCACAAGAATGTACCAAAAAATGAAACAGAGTCTAAAACCGTCCCCTAGGAAGTCTCGGTACTCGCTTTCGCCTTCATTGTACGAAGCGTCATTCCTGAATTGTCTTTATTTGCCTTCCTGACTGTGATATCTGGGCTGCGTTTACTTTTCACGGTCCGTTTTTGCCTTAGTGCAGTAGTGTACTTGTTAGGTTTTGAGTATGTTATTTTCAAAGACGACATTAAAGACGGCTCTATTTTGCTTATTCGTTTAATTTTGCACAATTTCTTTCCGGGAATAAGATTTAGTTTTTGGTGGCTTGATTTGCAAAGCCAAGAGCATACGCAGAAGCACCGGGCAAATGTTTAGATGGGTTTTCCAATTGAGGGCGTTAGTGGGATGGGATTAAAGTAAAGGCCAATAGATCCAGGTTACCGACGACGCGCATTTAAAGTGCGGTTTTTTTTCAAGTCTAGAAGTCTCGTTGTTTCTTATTGAATCCATTCGTATTGCCTGAGAATGATGCGTAGAAATTTTTTTCCTAGATCTAATAGGGGAGGACGGTTTCTACGTCTTCTTACAAGCATCCTCCATCATGCTGGCGATGCCTAACGCCAGCGGTCTCATAAACATCCGTCAAAAGTCCGAGGCCAACTATTTCGGTCAGTAGTTTAAATTTCGGATCGATATTTGGCATTAAAAACGTTGAAGAGCCGGCCTAAAATCCTAGGAATGTGAGCAACAGAACAAATCTGTTCAGGTGAGCAAACTCAGATTCCTGATAACAGTCCAGTTTTAAAATAAGGGACGGTCTTGTTGCTTGATCTTAGTGCGCGGAATTTTAGTTTTGTCTGCATGCTTGCACATAAATGTTTGATATGCATATTAATTTGAAAAGGGACATCTTAGGAAGCAAACTTCAAAGGAGAGAAGTTATTTGGAAATCGATAGCAAAGCTGTATTATGTGAATTTACGTCACTGATTCCGCGGCTGTGTAGGAACCTGCACAAACTGTTTTCTAGAAATCGCTGCCATGGTGATTTTGCGCGTCAGTACATACAACAACATAAAGACATGTCAACCAATAAGATGGCACAGCCTGGTGTCTAGAGTTGAGAGGGCAGAAAGCAAGGAGACCCCTGATG